AGGTCTCTGTATATGCGAGGCTCTCGATGTCTGGGCAGGCTACCGCGGGCCAGGTATACTTATTGCATGCATTTGTTTTGACTACTCTACATGGGGCTGCAGATCACATAACAGATGCGACCAAAGTGTTCACTTGCCTTATAGCCTCCGATGGAGTCCATAGGCAGCCTCTTGGCAAGCTGACTGCATAGTGCAGAGCCTTCACAGATTCCAAGGCTGGCATCGTCATATGCTGACTCCAGGAAATCCCTTTTTTTAAAAAGCGGGTGATGTTTTTGAAGAGGATCTTGGAATCCAGATAGAAACTTGGATTCTTACAATATCGTAGTAAAATGGAGCATCCGACTTACAACATGAGGGCAACACAATGTCAATGTCCACTCTTCCAAGTGGGGAATGACCAAGTTTCCAAGATTCGAGCATGATATATAAAGTATATTATATGTCGTACTATAGGATCAAGCCTAGACGTAGTACAGAGTATGGTGTATAGAGACAGTAATAGTTTGAATAATAAGTAATGGTAACTATCAGACACAAAGGGAGCTCGACGCTTAGACACACGTCCCCGTCCAATCTCCGGTGACCGGCCCCATCAGTGACGAATAGAAGTCCTTGGGTTACCGGGAATTGCCGCGTACTTGGGATCTTCTGAGGTACAGAAAAAAACAAGAACTGGGTATGAAATGAAGGCATTGAATGACAAATAGGCTGGTTTTCAATATAAGAGACTTGGGTATATAGTTCATTGACACTACCCTAATAGAGAAGGAATTTGAAGCATCGTTTCAGTACTCCGTACTCCCTACTATATAATATGTATTGTCTTACTTTTAAAAAGGAAAAAAAAGAAAAAAAGAAAAAAGGAATCTCCATTTTTTTCCGTGTGTTGTGTTGTACTCAATGTACGGAGTACTATTTTCCTCTTTTACATTACAATTTATGAACCCCCCTCTCCATAAGGTAATACACACCCACATCCCCCCCCCCCACTAGGACCCTCTCTCTCTCCTTTTCTTCTCTTCATCCTTCCAGTTTTTGGACTTCCTCTGCCTCGTTGACTCGTGGTAGAAAGAAATACTAGGAGGCCTATATCCCGTAAGTGCCTTGATTATATTCTGTTTCCAATTGGGTGGGAAAAAAATATTCTATACACCCGTTGAAAACTGTTGAAAGACCGTGGGAAAAAAAAAACATCAACAGAGTTGAGTTGAGACCGGGTCAAATTTTTTTGGTGATTTCCAATCTCGATACTTTATTTTTAAAATGTTGAAAGAAGATCCGGAGAACTGTTTCAAAAGTGTGTGTTGTGGATCGACGCTCACCTTTTTTTTTTCTCGACAGATCGCCTCTGACCGGATCATCTCCCCCCCCCCTGAACCGTCGCACTTTCGGTCCTTTTGATCTTGACAATGTCTTCGTACTATGAACCTCAGGGCTGGCAAGCACCGGCTGCGCGCCAGGCTTCTTGGGAGCAGCCGGCGCCTCCCTCCCGGTCAGGTATGGGATCAAACGCCGAGAACCCACGAGCAAAGAACTGACATTTGACAGGATCGAGTTCGGTCTCCCAGCGCGAGGACATTCCGGCCTTTTCCTCCCAATTTGACGGTACGGACACAATTCTGCTTGGATCTTTATATTTGCTCAAACGAAAATCGAATCGCACAACGGGGAGAAAAGCTGGTGGTTTTGAAGTGAGGCGGTTGTCGGGATGCCATGGACATACCTTTTTTTTGGAAACATTTCGGAACGAGTGCTGACCTTTGTTTTTTTCCAGAGGTCGATCGTGCGATCGACAATCTCGTCAAGAGTGGAAAGCTGTGGAATGCTCCTCGGCGGGATTCGATGCCCATGATGATGGGCCGGCCCTACCCCGACTACGGTATGTTGCGGGCACGGATGGCACCCAGAACGCGTTTCTGACTTGTCTCTTGACAGACCCTCGTATGGGTGGTGGCCCTCAACGACACCATTCGATCAGCGAGTTCGATGGCAACCGTATGCCCCCGTCTGGCAATGCCCAGGGTTTCTATGCCTCCCAGCGGTACCAGGGTCGTCCCAACGAAGTGGAACAGATGATGCAGGCGAAGCGTCGGATGGCAGCACAGCGTGAGAGGGAACTCCGCAACTATCACCAGGAGCAACAGTACAACCGAAGTACGTGGTAGCGTCTGTCTTCTTCTTTTTGAGCCTTTTTTATATTCCCCCGTCGGCTTTCCCCCCCCCTCTTTTCCTTTTCACTTCCTTGCACCTATGTATCCGTCGACTGTGTAATATATTTGGTTTGGCTTCTTCGTTTTCTTTTGAACACGGGGTTTTAATATTTTTCTTCTTCCTTTCAAGGCCTCCTCGCCGAGATGTCTGCATCCAAATCCGACCGCTCTACCAGCCCAGCTGCCGTGAGTGAGGACAGCCGTCGCGAACTTCTCGCCCGCCAGCACCGTGCCCTGTACGGCAACGAAAGCCCAGCCTTCTTCCCGCCTGGTGCCTTCTCTGACGAAAACCAACGCCCAGATAGCCAAGCTGGCGGTGGCACCCCATCGTCCGGTGTTCGTGGATCCTCCCCGCGAGGCATGGACCCATTTGGCCTAACCCAAGCCGGCACCACTAGCACCGATGCCGCGGGCCTGCAGTCGCCCTCGCGCGCCAACAGTACCTCTTCGCCTAGCTCCGCCATCAACGCCAGCTTTGGCGCCGAGCAGCCTGTAACCTCGACCTCATCACCTGGAGCTGACTCGCCCTCATCCCGCCAGGCCGCTTCCAAGCCCGTCGCTGGACCTATCGGCTCCGTCGGTCCCATCGGTTCCCGTCCTGCCCCCGGCCAAACATCCGCGCCTCCTGTCAACCAGGCCTTGAACAAGCGTTCTATTACCCCTCTCCCCTCCCCGCTTGGGCTAGGCTTCACTCCCGCCGACCCCACTGCTGGGCCTGTCACTGAGCGCACCTCCTCAGCCGGCCCTACTCCGGCTGTCACCTCTGCAGCTGGTGCCCCTGGCGCTAAGGACCAGGCTGGTGGTGTTGGCCTTGGTTGGAGCAACAGCAGTGGCGTCTGGAGCTCCAAGAGCGGACTCGGCGTACAAGCTTCTGTTTGGGGATAAACAACTCCTGATTTCTGATTTTTTGATGGCAGTGCTTTTTCGATGGCATTACTCCAAGTTGGCGCTTGTTGCATATTGGACTTGGGGTTGAGCTGGCGTATTACTAGGCGGGGTGGCAAAAAGGGCGGGGATTTACTGGGGCTTGGAACCATTCCCCCAAATTGGTGTTGGATCTCTCTGGATGATGTGATGCCTTCTTCAACCTTCCCCGTTTCGGTCTCGGGCTCAGCATGTTGTTTTTGTTCTGCTTTTTTGTTTGCTTTTGCTATTCCGGTGCCCGTGCGAATTTGGTCGGGAATATGGCGCTTTATCTGTGATGCTCGTGGGCTATGTATGGGCTGTCTCATTTTTCTCGGTGTTTTTCATGTCGGATGCACAGGTCTCTTTTATTCATCTTTTCAGTCGGG